AGGGGGCGCCAAAAAGGTCGGATAAGCTGTCCCCCCCTGGCCAAAAATCGTTCCTACGCCCCTGCCCTGCTCCGCCCTCTCTTCCGCCTTTCTCTCCGGGGGTTCGGGAGAAACTGCGCGTGCCTCATCCCCCCAGTCGGGGGTCGCTGTCGTCGGGGCGGCCGATGGCGTTGGCCTTGTCGTCGGGGGGGATGTGGCGAGGAGAGTGCCCCCCTCGCCCGGCCCGGCGCGGCCCCGGAAGAATGTGTCCAATAGCGGGCTGCCTGAGAAGGCGCCGGGCAAAGACACCCGGACCGGCCGTCGCCGCGTTGTCTCCCGTCGGGATCAGGATGACGGCGCTCCTTTTGCAACCTCTTTGCGTTTCCCCCTTCAGCCAGCAGCAGACCGAGGGGCAGGGCGCGGGGCGGCAACTCCCTCCCGTCCCGTCTGCGCCCCCTCCCTTGTGATGGGGGGGGGGGGGGGGGGCTTCAAGGCCGCCGCGGCGTGGCGGTGCGTGGCGCACGCACGGGGCCCGTCCCGGCCGCGGGGGCGCGCCAAGGCCGCGGGGCGCCCGCGTCCTCCCCATCGCGCGGAGTCTGTCGTCAATCACCCTCGTGTTGTTGTTTTTGTAGTTGTTGTTGGCGCCGTTGCTAATCGTGCTGTTGTCTTCCTTGTTGCAGCGGTGCGAGCGGACCGGATGCGCGGCGGGAGGAACAAGTTCGGCCCCATGTACAAGCGGGACCGGGCGCGGAAACTGCAGATGATGAGGCAGCGGCAGATCGCCGTGCAGACCATCCGGGGCCACGGCAGCTCGCTGTCCAACTCGCTGTCCAGCCAGGGCAACCAGGGCCTGTCCGAGTCGGGGCTGTCGTACCCGCAGTCGTCGGCGCAGTCCTTCGCCTCGCTGCACATCAAGCAGGAGATCCAGATCCCCCAAGTGTCCTCGCTCACCTCCTCGCCCGACTCGTCGCCCAGCCCCATCGCTGTGGCGCTCGGTCAGGCGTCGGCGTCGGCGTCCGGCGGCGTCTCGGCGCCCCCGGGCCTCCAGCTCGCCGCCCCCACCTCCGCCCCCGGCTCAACGGCCGCCTCCACGGCCACCAGCCTGGCCGCCACCTCGGACCACAAGCTCTGGGGCGGCGGCACGGGCGGCGGCGGCACCGGCGGCGGCAACACGCCGTCCAGAGACCTCCTCGACGGGCTCATGGGCTCCACCTCGCCGACGGCGACCACCACCAAGATGACGCCGATGATGAGGGACCTGGTGCAGTCAGTGGATGACCGGGAGTGGCAGAACTCGCTGTTTGGTCTGCTTCAGAACCAGACTTACAACCAGTGCGAGGTGGACCTCTTTGAACTCATGTGCAAAGTGCTGGACCAGAACCTCTTCTCGCAAGTAGACTGGGCGAGAAATTCAGTCTTCTTCAAGGACCTCAAGGTATGGGCTAGCGTGCCGCAGTGCGGTGTGCGCGCGCGCTGAAGCTGTGCAGAGTGAAGTGGGGCGGGAAGGGAAGACGCGGACGGCCACAAGCCATCCCTTCAAAGTGACAACCTTAGCCTTGTAGTACTGTTAGGGCGGTAAGTCTCTCGGCATGCACTGCCGCGCCACCAGGTAAGTCATGCGGACGAGGTGTCGTTCACACACCACAAGGTTCTCGGGTGGAGTGCTTCCTTTACGGCCGCAGTAAATGTAATTTCTCAAATCACGTTTACGTCTGGGGAGCGCTACTGGCATCGTGGCACCCCGTCGACGTCTTGCGCGGCGACCTTCCAGGTCGATCAAGTGGGCCGTGGGAAAGCGCCGCCATCCGCAGAGAACCGCGTGGTCTGTGAAGGCTCCCCGAGGAGGCCGTCCGGAGCATAGCGCCCGCGGAGCCGCGGCAGGCAGCCGGCGAGCGTGCCTGTCGGGCGGGCTGCCTGCCTCCGGGCGCTACAGCGAGGCTGGCTCTCGCTCGGGCGGGATCTCTCGCCTCGCACTTCTCACTTCTCTCTCTCTTGCTCTCTATCTTCCTTTCTCTCCAGGGGCGTAGGAACGATTTTTGGCCAGGGGGGGACAGCTTATCCGACCTTTTTGGCGCCCCCTTACGGCGACTAGCGCCCCCCCCCCAAAAAAAAGTGCTTTTCAATTAACGAAAATATATTCTTGCGGTTGTCTCAAACACATGGTTTCATTTCCACTTTTCCTTATTTAAAGGCACTTTCCCCCAAATTTTTCTTGTGTATTATGAAGTACAGGGGCAAACAACTATCTCCCGCTCCTCTCGAAAAGAGTCAGACAAAAATGTGCTATGATTTTTTAATAGATCTTCTTTATCGTTTAAATGCGCGAGAAAGTGGCAGCGGACGAAGTTTGATGCGTAGCTGTCCGTTTTGTTTCGAAAATGGAAGCATATAGCATATGACATGAAGTCGTGGCTCCAGAGAGGTAATAAAAAACATCGCGAGCGAAGCGAGCGCGAAAATATTTTGGTGATTGGTGCGCCAAAATCCTCGCGGGATGAGGGAGCGGCGCCTCTTTGCGCCCTTCCAGGGCGCATTCTAGCGCCCCTTCGGGGCGGGTTTGGCGCCCCTTCGGGGCGCTCAGGGGGGGGCAGTCCACCCCCTGCCCCCCCCCGTTCCTACGCCCCTGTTTCTCTCTCCCGCTTACCCTCCCTCTCACTCCTCCCTCCCCTCTTCCTCCTCTTCTCTTTCTTGTCGAGCCTCTCCGCCCCCGTTCTGTCCACCTGTCTATATGCCTTGCCTGTCAGCCTTCGTTATCCCACACACTCTCAGTCTAAACTGGTCTCCTTCTGTACTGTACGTCCATGTCTGTATTCTCGGTCGATGTATCCACACACTTTGAAGCTATGTAACGGAACTCACACATGTATATATACTTATCCACTCCGACACGGACATGTTTTCATAATCAAACGAACAGGGGCTCTGCGGGAATATATATTTACCAAAGCTCGATCGTGCATGGCTATCGCCTGGCTCGGCTGCCAGGTATTGATTGGGTCCGTGGGAGGGTGGATGGGGTGGGAATAGCCCCCACCCCCTCCCCAGCCCCCTTTTCCCGATCCCCCTGGCTGTAGTGTGGAGTAGTGTAAAGGGGGGCGAACAAGTTGACAGATCCGGGACACTGAACAGCGGAGCTAAAAGCTCGAGCGACGCGCGGTAAGCGCGGCCTCATGGAGGTGAGGGGGGGGGAGCTCGTGGCGGCGCGGTGTGCGGTAATCTGACGTGCAGGAGCAGGGACGGGGCGCTGGAAGTAGCACGGCGGGGCGGAAGGAAAGGAGGGGGGGGGGGCGGTATCGCGGCCTAGGTCTAGGGCACCGCGAGAGCGAAAGTCCCCGCTCCCCTCTCCCCTCTCCTCGCATTCTGCGCGCAGCGAGGCGCGGCGCTTCATCGCATCAGTGAATATTACTCGGGATTACCTCACGTTTCGCGGTCGTGGCGGGGCGGGGCGGGGCGGGGCGGGGGCCACCACGCAGACAATGGGGCAACACAACTCGCAGAAGCGGGCGGGGATCGAATCGAGCTTCGAGTGCAGCCCTACTACTCCGCGGTTCGAGTTGGAACTGTTGTAGCTGTCGGTGGCAGATGCGAAAAAAGGATCACATCCTTATTTTTGTCGGTCCGTGTGTCAGTCTCAGCCCCTTTCCCTCAGTTACTACTCTCCCGGTTTTATTTGACTCTCCCAGCAGTCAGCTCTTCGTCCACCCTTTTCTAGAGCAGCGGACCCTTTTAGGCCGCGCTACGCGCCGCCACCACCCTCCACGAGATGCCGGCCGCAGCCAGGCCTAGGCGAGTCCTTGAAGGCCCCCCCCATACCCCCCC